ATTCACTGGGACGTTAGGGGCTCTCGCATGGCTGCCAAAATATCGGCTTGCTTTCCAGCGGCGTGCAGACAGCTGGAGAACAACCTGTGGTGCTTTGGACATCCACTGCGCACGCTCCCTCAGGCACTGCTACACCAGTTTGCCAACTTTGGCCACAACAAACCTAGGCTTCCCATCACTTCAGTAACTAAGCTTGCTAGAGGCACCAACATGAAAAACCTCCTTGGAGCCCTGCTGAGTCAGGGAATGTAAGACCTACCCAGGAGCTCTGCACCCTCCTCACTTTTGAAACAGCCAGGGCAAGGGCTAGCTTTGGGCACGTGTCACTTTGGGGAACACAGAACATTTACTCCCACCCATGATCCTATACAGAAGGTACAAGTCAAGGTGCTCACGGGTGTTCATTTCTCCTGCAGCATGGCAACACACAAGAACACAAATCAGACAAGTACCTGGAGGTGTTAGGGTGGTGGTGTATGTTGGTGTGGGCATGGATGTGCTTGCAGTAGTTGGGGTGGGTGTTGATGTGCCAGGAACAGTTGTCGTTGTCACCGGGGTGCTGCTGGTGGGCATTGTGGTGGTGGACGTGCTGCTGAGAGGCTCCGATGGCGTTATCGTGGGAGTGGTTATCGATACGGATGGAGCGGGCACTGTGCTCATTGTGGATGAATGTGGGGCTGTTAGAAAATGCAGGAACAGAGAAAACAAAGGTGCAAGGTGCGTGAGAAAGACACAATATGCACTGAACATAAGTTACACATTAGGCATCTGCCACAATCCGATAGTGGTCAGCCCACTGTTACCATACTAAAGGCCTATATAATGAGGCCTTCCTTTGTGGCCCCAGAAAGCAGACTAGTTCCAAATTAGTGCACAGACAGGGTCATGACAATCCTTTCCTGGCAAAGAGACTAGGGATTTTGCTGTAATGTGCTTCTCACTAAATCAAAAGTACCTACCAACAGGTAAGAAGTGAGGAGGAGTAAGGCTCTGTGAAGCTTTCTATCTCTGCCTTATTACTTAGAACACCTTGCTGTCTCATGGCGTAAGAACTGAGAGAGGAAGCTGTGGTCTGGGAAGAAAGTATGTGCAGGAATATGTTCCTGCCTGATTGTCATGTAATTTCCCTTCAGTGCATTGTCAGCCTGATGAAGAGGTTCACAGAATAGTAGCGGATCTCAGCAGCCAAAGACCACAGTTCACAGCAAGTGACAGCCTGCAGAGTGAAACTGTTCCTGAAAGCCTGCCATGGAAATCCTTCCTTCCTAGATCTATAACCATAGGCAAATGTTAGCACTAACAGAGGGAAAGCAGGAGGAGAAAGGGAAGGAATTCTGCACAGTGCCACACAGGCAATGCCTAAAATGATGGTACTCTAAATCAAGGCCTACTCTATTCTCACACAATGGGTCCTTCTGGGAATCTCCTCTCCAGCAGAAACTTAGAGCTCCAAACCAGCATAAGTAAGACTTCCTGCCAGCTCAATATCTGCTATGGAGACGACATGCCTTTAGTAGCCAACAGCCCTTTATTTCTCCTATGGCAAAGCAAGAGCAGAGAGTATTGGTCTGTTAAATACCTGAAAAGGTTGAAGTTACTGGGGTGGTGACTGATGGTGTGAATTCATTTGTAATGGTTGGGGTGGGTATGGGCGTGGTGGTAATTGCTGTTGTCTGCCTGACTGTAGTGGTGATGGGTACTGTCGTGCTGGTGGTGGTTGAAGTTGCAGTTGGTGTTGGACTCGGTGTACTTGTCCCACAAGGTATTGGATGCTGCTGACAACAATTTACCCTGATTTCATAATTATAGCAAAGTCGCCATATAGTTGCATCTTGCTCCTCATTTTTACAGATTAGTCCATATGCAATATTACACTCTACTTTCTGGCCAAGTTCCTCTAAGCTCACATCAGGTTTATCTTTAGCCCTGCATTCAATTTTTTCAGGAGCTTCACATATTTTGCTTCCATGTTCTTTTCTTATTTTATTGTAGGTTTCATAGTCACCATCATCTTTGTCAGGGTTACTAACATCAAACCACTCAGTCCAAGAACAGATTAATTCAAAGCATGGAGCTGCAAGAAAAGACAGAGATTCAGCATCTGAGTTTACAGAGAACATTCCAAGAAGATTAATTTTGTATTCTATTCCATTAAGGACTAGAGCAATGCATTGCAACTTGACATTTTTCCAAGAGAGAGAGTTCTAAAATTGGTTCTATATTACCAGTTTTTTTAACAGGAAGCTTTGCATCAAAATAAAATCACCAAGCTGAAGCCTTCAAAGGTCTTTCTTCTCTTTATACTTGCCACATTTTTGCAATTTTAAAAAAATTATTTATTTTTGTTTTAAACATATTTTTCTGTAATGGCAGTCTTTAATTTTCTCTTCCTTTAAATGTTCCTTGGACATTTTTTTAACAATTTAGTTTTGTATTTAAAACTTACTTGAAGTTGCTGGAGAGCTTGTAGTGGTAACTGAAATAGAAAAAAGAGATTACTCCATCATCTGCAAGCTTTAGAAAAAATATAATAGTAGTTTTAAATATCTTAATTATATTTTTTTGCTGAGCCTACTGAGACAATTTCTACTATCCCAACAGGATATTGAGATGCTAACATGTTTTTCAGAATTAGGAAGGTACCCTGTACATTTATAGTTACAATTTCTTCCATGAGAAGTAAATCAACTCAAAGTGTTAAAAATGTTTCTTAGTGTAGTGTGATAAAACTATTCACAAGAATAACTCCATCTGTATCAACTATAAGCCCATATACTGGTACATTCTATCTTTAAAGTATTTTTCTTAAAGAAAATAATTTTAGATGCACATCTCTGTTGAAGATTTACCTGTGGTGGTAATAGTACTGGTAGGAGAGGAGGTTGAAATGGTTGTAGGTGCACCAGGTGTTGGACAAGGATAAGTACTTCCAACAACTATAGAACCATTTTCTGCACAAATGTATCCTATACATATGTTGCCATCCTGTATTTGTCCCACAGTTGTATTCACTTCATAACGTGTTCCATTGATGAAACAAGGACACCCTGCAAGAAAGAGCTTTACTGTGCAATTTTTCTACTACCAGGTAAGAGATGAAGGCAAAATACTTATGGACGAGTAAGCATTTATATGTCATGTATGCTCCTTTCAGACCTATACCTGGATCTAATACTTCGCACTAATTTATCCTTACATTTAGAGGAGCATTAAAACATATTTAATAAAGCCCTGCATAAAACGCTTGGAAGAACAGACTTACCAACCAGGTTTTAAGATATTCTGAGAGAAATAACAATAGTAATTTACTCTCTGACACTTTTCTATAATACTGCATGTTCTGGGAGTGCAAACTCTTGTAGTGAAATCCATTAGTTTGGATATGGGACATGGGGAGAAAGAATAAAGGGACATGAGAAAAAGGTTGAACAAGAAGTACTAACAGCAAGGTTCAACAAAAGTGCTGCCCAAATTTCTTTGGCCACAACTTTCACTTGCACTGGAAAGAAATATTCCAAATGAGTACTAAGTCTCTTGTAGAGACAGACATAGCAGTTCTATGCATTTTTTTCTTTTTATTTGTAGAAAAACCCGAACATTATTTACCTGTAACTTGTGTACAATTTATGAATCCTGAGAGGCCACAGACACTAAAAACAAAATTTTCAAAAATTAAAATGTTGCAGATGTTTTATTGCACCCGTTAGCAGAGCCAAGAGCACAGAAATACAGACATTTGTCATTTGATCTTCATTCATACTACTGGATATTTTTCTGGGTGCAATATTTTCCAATATTGCCTATCATTATTTCATTCAAACCAAGTCATCACTTTTATTCTTTAAGCACAACATCTTAAAACTATCATGAACCACTTTGTGTTGCAAGTTGCAATGGTGCAATAATAACTGTTTTTCAGAGCTAGATCAGGGGGTTTATGTCTCTGATCACCATGTGAAGTCATAGATGCCAGTGCTACCATTAGCAAGGCTCTAGGAATGAGCATTTTTTGACGATTCAGCTATCACTTTCAGGGCTAGTACAGATCATTTCAGATTACAGTGATTTTGAAATCCCAGTTTTAAGTGAGAATGCAAGGCAGAGTAGCCCCTCTCTTCCCAAAGAGCCATGAGAATCAAAATGTTCTAGAGACACACACAGGTTTCATGCCAATATACCATTTATGAGCCTTGAAAAAGTATATTTAATGAATTTGCTAATGCACTTACTATAACGACACTATCGACCTGAAATCTGGATTATCATGGCTTTGGAAAATTATGAATTAAAAGTTTAGAAACCATACATATTGTAAGTGCAGCATTTTTTGAGTTTAAGTCTCAACTGGAATAAACAGCATTGTTCCTCTGATTTGTACAGATAAATGCTAGAATATACCAGCTCTTCAGCTGAAGTTGTGTCTCTATTGCTTGACGCCCAGTAAAGTAAATGAGGGTCTCAGCATATATAAATTCTTTCCTGAATTAATGCAATTCGTTTTGCATTTTTTATATACCATTTTGTACAGTTCTCTTCTGTAGGTATTTCATTCCCAGGGAGAAAAGGAATTCCATTGACGTAGCATGGACAGTAATCTTCAGACACACATTTCTTTGTCTCTTCATTATAAACAGGCTTGTCCTTAGGGCATCTGGGGTAGCAACCTGTTGATGACAGGTAGAACAGTATACAGGATGAAGAAAAAGTATAAAGAGTTAACTCAATGATAAGATACTTTCTGAAGGTAAATGATTCTCACTGAATCAAGCATAGTGAAACAAATACAAAATCTCTGATTCAAATTAATCCCTGGACAATTAGTCTTTCCAAAAGACTTAAATCAAACAATTCTCATTGATAATACTGAGATGAAGAGGATTAAATAAGCGCTTAGTCATGAAAACTAGGGAAGTTGTTTTTTCCTAGTTCACGTTTTGGAGAAACCTCTAATTTACATTAATTTCTAAGGGCAGCTAGTAATTTTAAGACAAAGAAACATCCCAATTTTTCTACAGATATTGATAGGTGATCACTATATCAATAACACTTTTGTGAAGAATATGGAAGAGGATTCTTTAACAAACAGATTTTTCACTACATTTATTGGAACCTTGTTTATGTGCCTTTAATAGACCAGGTACCTCCAACCCAAATAGATAATTTATCTGCATTTTTCCATACCCTTGGCCAGTGACCCAAACCGTACCTGCAAGGGATTAATTGTCTGTCAATTCTCATTGCATTTTTCATGTAAATACACTTTTAAAAAATTACTCTGTCTTGCTTCCAAATAAACTCTCATAAAATTCAATTCTTAATTACATAAAGTCCTCTTTATACTGTACTGGAGCTCTAAATAGCCTATAAACTGAATGATCATGTAATTAATGGTACTTGAAAGTCACTTCACGCTGCCAGACTGTACTAAAGATGTCCCAACAAAAGTAGGTGTGCTCTGTATTTCCACTGAAGATAAAAGCCAAAAATAATTTAGAAAGATAATTAGATATATAATAATCTGCCTTCTGACACTTTACAAATCTTTCTAATAGTCTAAGAGATAATCTATTTCAAAACACAGTGTTAACTTTTTTTTCTTCAAATATTTTGTTTAGGTTTTGGGTTTGGGGTGGGGTTTTTTTGTTTGTTTGTTCGTTTTCTTGACAAAACCAGCAGTTCAAGGATTAAAATAGCAAAGTCAAACTCTGGGCAGTTCTTTCCAATCCCTAAACTGGAGATAACTGCTTCCAGTCCAGACCAAAAAGACTGTGTGGCCAAACACATGGCTGTTTTTTCCAACTTTATCATGCGGTAAAACAGAAGATATTTGTAAAGTCATTTGCATTCTGGATCATTGCAGTCCCCATAATGTAAAATTCCTTTCAAGCACAAGGACTTTCACCTACTAATATTGTATCTCTACATACTTTGAGGGGTTCAATGGGATTTAAATGGCTTATGCATCTTCTAAGTGTGATGGAACACAGAATAACCTGTTTTAGCCTCACAGCTTGGTCTTAAAGCCTAAACGAAAACTGCAAATGAAATACACTAAAAATGGAGGTAGTCCCCAGTAGCCCTCTGACAACATTTTGTGGTCTCCATTAAGGATCCAATATATAGCAGCATCAATGTGTCTGATATCTAAGATATTTTCCATCGTAAAGATAGAAGGATGCTGCACATTAATCAAATAAAGTCAAGATGGATCTGATGCATAAAGAATGATTAGGTTAAAAAACCCCAACTATCAGTAACTTGTTTCTTTGCCATGTAAAAGGTTTTCCTTCTCTTGAAATGCCCTTAGGATGGGATGCAAAATAACAATGGTGTAATAACCTTGCATGTTTCGGGATATTAACCAAGCAGAGACCTATTTTATGGCTGACAGCAATGTAACTATCACCCACTGATGATAACAAATAATAAATTACATTATGGGAAACATTTATGTAAGACTGGAGACAGATTCAACATAACAGATTTAGGAACGTCTTGTCAAGCTGACTGGCTATTCCATATTCATTAAATGATACCCAGACAAAGTTATATGAAATAAAACACAAAAATGGCAAGGAACTTATTACCTTCCAGGTATGGTACTGAAAAGTTGGTGCTGACATTATTAATCATCCTGCAGGTTGTGATATTACTGCCACAAGGCTCATAGTGCCAGTCACACTCATTACGAGGGTTGTAGTAGTCACAAAATATCGCTGATGAGAAAAAAGAGAAGCTGATTAAAAACATGGTTGCCAGAATGCAGCTCTGATCAGGTCTTTAAAGGTATAAGCTAAATGAATCTACATGTTAAGCCAGCAAAATTTCTCTTGAGGTATAGGACCTGGACTTTCTTTTACTAAAAGATAGGGTACATCAAAATTTGGGGTCAAAACTCTGGGGTCCAAGATTTTCATATTAAACACTCAAGCCGCAGGGTGAAAATGTTTGATTCAAATCACAGAAAAATTAAAGAATTAGTGTTGATTTTCATTTAAAATTAAGGGTAAATTTCTGAGAGTATTTTTCTTCCCTAGCTGCTAGCAAGCTCCTAAAAACTCTTGCAGCATATTCAAAATAGTTCTACGTTGCTGTATCACATGTGCTGAGAGTCACCTCCAACAGGCCAAGAGCAAGCATGTGAGACATTATGGATACAACTGAAAACAGAATTCAGCTTAGGTCACTATGGACAGAGGAAGGAGCTTTTACAAACTTACATATCAGAGCTGACTGAAACTTACAACCTCTGTTTCACTGACTTCTTACACTTAAAAACTACAACTAGCCTTAATTCTGAATCAGAATGAATGTTTAAAATTAAAAAAAATTACATTTCTGCCACTTGGAATCTCAAAATTTTGTTTTGATCACTTTTGGGGGAAATATTAATTTAAATATTATTTTGCATTATTTTATGATGTATTGGTATAAGCATTAGCACCACTAATAGACACTGCTTAATATACTCAATACTGATTAGATTCATCTACACAGGAGTACTGCTATATACTTTTACTAAAATCAGATTGTGAATAATTTGAAAAAACAAGAGAGGAGAAAGATAACAGGAGTTACAGTTCACCAATTATCAAGCAAAATGGAAGGATGACTTGAAACCTAGCATTAATAAAAAAAAAAAAAAAGAGAGAAAGAAAAAAGGAAAAGAAAAAGAAAAAGGAAAAGGAAAAGGAAAAGGAAAAGGAAAAGGAAAAGGAAAAGGAAAAGGAAAAGGAAAAGGAAAAGGAAAAGGAAAAGGAAAAGGAAAAGGAAAAGGAAAAGGAAAGAAGCCAGGCTGAATGAAAGATAATTGAAATATACAGATTTACTAGTTCTGTTTGTTCCCTGACATGCTGTGAAAATAAATTGCATCGCATAGCCAGCATGACCTTGCAGTGATAGTATTAATGTTTTATTTGATAGGCTTTCTGACAGCAGCCAGAAAGATACAGTTGTGTTTAACTGTTACTCACGGCATATATCAGGAGTTCTCCAGAAAACACAGGCCTGAGCCTTGATACATTCTTGAGCATATGCAGCAACTGCAGAACAGAAGCACTCACAATCTCCACCACTGTCACAAGAGCAGGCATCATGAACACAAGCGTCATAGAAAGGACGTGGGTCCACCTGTTGGGGAAAGAAATGATGCCCCAGTTCATCTCCAAACTGGTTTTCAATCTAGTAAGCCCGAGAGATCTCTTGAGATATGGGAATTGAGCTGGGCAGGAATGAGACTGTTTCTAAGAATTACCAAATCACAAACAAACATTATAGGTTTAAAGCTGCTTAATATATTTTGGATAATAATAGACTTAAAGTAATATAGCACCTTCATAATTTGCTATGACTGAAAGAATAAAATAAGAGCCCTTGGCAGTGCCCACATTTTCTAACAGAGTTCCATTTTACTGCTCTCAAAACCAAGCTGGATTGATGCCAATGAAGTCTCATATTCCAGCAACCTTTGCCAACCAAGTGGTGAACAATATCAGAAAGACTACACTTCACAGCAAATATCAAGCAGAGAATTTTGTGTTTGCCAGTTTTTGGAGTTTATCCAATGACACATTAGCAAAACTTTTCCACTTTTTTGCTTGGGACTGAAAGAGGAGAAACTTAGACTGGATTTTAGCTGCTGAAGGTATCAACATAGAAACACATATTGAACAACCCCATGAAAGGCTACAGGCTTGGGGAAGAGTGGCTGGAAAGCTGCCTGGCAGAAAAGGACCTGGGGGTGCTGGCTGACAGCCGGCTGAACATGAGCCAGCAGTGTGCCCAGGTGGCCAAGAAGGCCAACAGCATCCTGGCTTGTGTCAGGAATGGTGTGGCCAGCAGGAGCAGGGAGGTGATTGTCTCCCTGTATGCGGCACTGGTGAGGCCGCACCTGGAATACTGTGTCCAGTTTTGGGCCCTCAGTACAAGAAAGACATTGAGGTGCTGGAGCATGTCCAGAGAAGGGCAGTGAAGCTGGTGAAGGGTCTAGGGAACAAGTCTTATCAGGAGCAGCTGAGGGAACTGGGGTTGTTTAGTGTGGAGAAGAGGAGGCTGAAGGGAGACCTTACCACTCTCTACAACTACCTGAAAGGAGGTTGTAGCGAGGTGGGTGTTGGTCTCTTCTCTCAAGTAAGAAGTGAGAGGATGAGAGGAAATGGTTGCAAGTTGAGCCAGGGGAGGTTTAGATTAGATATTAGGAAAAATTTCTTCACCGAAAGGGTTATCAAGCATTGGAAGAGGCTGTCCAGGGAAGTGGTTGAGTCACCATGCCCGGGGGTATTTAAAAGACGTGTAGATGGGGCGCTTAGGGACATGGTTTATTGGTGGACTTGGCAGTGCTAGATTAACAGTTGGACTCAATGATCTTAAAGGTCTTTTCCAGCCTAAATGATTCTATGATTCTAAGTTAAATATTAATTAATAATTCTTTGTGACTTTTTCACTGTGACTTAAGAACAAGCTGTTGTTAATATTACCATACATCAGGAAAGAGACAAGAAATAGAGAGGAGTGCTCTCTGTGCACTGTGTTCTGGAAGCTGTGGGCCTGACATATTGCATGCTATGGCAATTTGGAGGCACAGTACTAGCAGCTAAGATCCCTTCTGTGGGTTGAATATTAGAAGGAGCAGTGGTCTCTTCAACAGCCATGTTTCAAATATAGTATGCATTTCTGTCAGAAGATGGGTCTGATGATTGCAAGGCCTTTCAGAACTTACAGTAGTGACAGTCTCTCAACAAGAGATGGTGCAACTGCAGCACACAGACCTATTCAGGCTAGATTTATGAAGCTAGCTTGCACAGCAGTAGCAGTGAACTGTGGTGATGAATATAGGCTTGTACAGCTGGGGCTGGCACCACTACTGCTACAGTCCCATTGCCACAGATACTTAGTCAACTTTGACTAAGGCTAGCTGAAATGTGCTGGCACCTGTAGCTGTACTGAAGACTTAACTGAAGATCGCTCTATTTAACCATCTCTTCATTAATTTCTGATGATCTCTCTGCTTCTGCAGTAACAGAAATGCACTGTGCTGTCCCATCACTTACTGCCCTCTACAAACCTTGGAGTGACAAATTTCAAAGACTTCACTCCGGATGATGCTGCATTCTTTCTCTGCCCAGGACTTCCGATGTTGTTTCACTTCACAGGGCTTAATCTCTTGTGTGACATCTGGGCACATGGAAGACTGTTTCCAGGAATTCCCAAACTTCAGACCACTAGTCTCCTGCAGCCCACTCCTTGTTGTAAAGTCATTGTTAGACTTGTCATCAAAGTTGCCACACAGACCACACACTTTGCCCTGAAAAAGAAAATTAACATATTCACAGCTTTTAAACAAACCATGGAAGTGAGAAACAGACTCTAGTGAAGTAAGAGCAAAACAATGACATTAAAAAGGACAACTGAGTCTCCGTGTAAATGATGTATTTTCATCTTTACTTCCAAATCATCTGTACAGAAATAAACTCCTTATTCGTCTGTGTACTCAGCAAACTACTCAGCTGCCATGTCTTCCCCCCTTGAAACCAATTATATCTAGTGTATTTCCATGTCTCTGTGGCAGCCCTTCACCCAATTTATAATACTAAAGAGTGGCTAAGCCTCCTTCAGATGAGAAGAATTAACTTATTTTCCATTCTTCACAATTTATCATAACTCAGCTACTAATACAAGCCTGAGGGAATTTCATTCTGCTCAAAACTGTTTTTATTAAAAGCTTCTAACACCATTTCTTTATCCATGGAAGAAAAATGACAGGGACTCATTTTTCCCAAAAGAAAGAATTTAGCAACTTACCCAGAATAGTGAATTTTTGGTAGTGCTATTTAAGGTACATCAACAGTATGTCCCTGTTTATACAACCCCACACCTCCTCATTCAGCCCAATGAATTCAGTACTCTATAATTCAGCATGCTGATTTTCAGTAATCAGAACCATCTCCATACATTGCATAGGGAGTTCGGTTTTAACTCAGGGCTGAGATTCCATGCAGGTTTCCAAGTGCATGTACAGTCAGTCTGCATCCCTTAAATTACTTTGGATGCTTGGCTTTTAATATTCACAAACTCAGAATGCCTTAGACGTTCGGCTTTATTGCAATCACATTCTATGCATCCTCTGCAATGCATTGTGATGGACAGTAAGGAACCCCAGTAGCACCTCTGCAAGTGTCACAAATGCAGCAAGCTGTGATAGTAATAATGCAAGTTATTCATCAATGTGCAGATGATGTAAGAATTAATTATTTTTGTTATTATAATGTTTCATTATGATAATATTAATATTAATAATATA